GTATTAGCAGTATTGCAAAGAAGCTACTACCAAAGTGTGGAGATCCAAATATGTTCACGATCTCCTTTAAAATAGGAAATGCTAAAATCAGAAAAGTAATGCTAGATTTAGAAGCATCGATTAATGTGATGCCAAAGACCATGTATGCCTCCTTAAATCTAGAACCATTAAAAGAAACGAAAATTATAATCCAATTGGCTAATCGCACTGATCCATATCCTGATGGGTTGATTGAAGATGTGTTAGTCCAAGTTAATAAATTAGTATTTCCTGCTAACTTCTATGTTCTTGATATGGGTGACGAACACTGCCCAAATCCATCACCTATCATATTAGGAAGACCTTTTCTGAGTACAGATTGAATGAAAATTGATGTTAATAAGGGTATTCTTACAATCGAATTTGAAAGAGAGATAATTTATTTTAATATTTTTGATGCTATAAAGTACCCCTCTAAGACTAACTCTGATTTTGTTGTGAGTGTAATTGATCATGTGGTGCAAGAAGTTTTTGAACTTGATGGCAAAGATGCGTTAGAAGTTGTTCTAACCAAGCATCTTGACTTGGAAAACAACTTATGATATGGAGCAAGTGATGAATTGAAATATGTGATTGGGACATTATAGTCACTAGCATCTCCCACAATAAGGTATGAAATTATGCCTACTTTTATTCCTGAATCTCACCAAAAGTTATTACCTTCTATGGTGCAGATGCCTGTTATGGAGTTGAAATCCCTACCAAATCATTTAAAATATGCCTATTTGGGTGATATGGAAACTCTTCCGGTTATCATTTCTGCAAAGTTATCACCTCGTCAAGAAGACAAATTGATCCAAGTTCTTAAAGACCATAAGGAGGTGATAAAGTGGACCATTGCTGATATCAAGGAAATAAGCCCCTCCTTGTGTGCATTGGATTAAATTTGAAGCAAATGCAAAACCTTGTGAGGCAAGCACAAAGGAGATTGAACCATGATGATAGAAGTGGTGAAAAAAAAAAGAAATATTCAAACTTTTGGATGTGGAGATAATTTTTGCTATCTCTGATAGCTAATGGGTGAGCCTAGTGCAGGTATTTCCAAAGAAGGCTGGAGTAATGGTAGAAGTTAATCATGAAGGTGAGCTAGTTCCAGTTTGGAACCTTACTAGGTGGCATCAATGCATAGACTACCGTAAACTAAATTCAATAACCAAAAGGGACTATTTTCCCCTCCCTTTAATTGATCAAGTGATTGAAAGATTAGCATGTTGTGCTCACTATTGTTTTTTAGATGCCTTTTCAGTTTACTTTTAAATTGCGGTATCACCGAAATATCAGAAGAAAATAACTTTCACATGTCCATTTCGTACCTTTGCCTATAGTAGAATATGGTTTGGGTTGTGCAATACTCTTGCAACTTTTCAAGGATGTATGATAAGTATATTTTCTAAATATGTAGAGAAAATAATAGAAGTATTTATGAATGACTTCACTATTTATGGTAAAAGTTTTGATGAATGTCTTGATAATTTGGCTTTGATTTTAATATTGAGATTAACTTAGTGCGCAACCAGAAAAAATGTCATTTTATAGTTGAGTGTGAGATAGTTTTAGGTCATGTAGTGTCATCTAGAGGCATTGAAATAGATAACGTTAAGATAGATCTTGTGTCTTCCTTACCTTACCCCACAAATGTGTGAGAAATGCACTCTGTTTTGGAACATGTAGGTTTCTATCGTAACTTTATTAAAAACTTCTCAAAGATTGGAGTATCACTGTTTAGGCTTTTGCAAAAAGACGTGGCTTTTAAGTTCAATAAAGATTGCAAACAGGCATTTGACAAACTAAAGGAGCTTTTGACTGCTCCACCCATCACTCAACCTCTAGATTGGAGTCTCCCATTCGAAATTATGTGCGATGCAAGTGATACTATAGTGGAAGCAATGTTGGGACAAAGAGTTGGAAAAGTTACCCATGCAATTTACTATGTGAGGATGCTCACCTCGGCCACCCCGCGTGTCCGAGATGAACCCAAGCCTCGTCCCTCATCAGAGCTCATCCCTGTCTTGAGCATAACCCCTGAGCTCGGCTAGATCCGTAGTCTACCGTGTGGGCGACCTCGGCACATCCACCTCGGCTGCACGCTGATGATGTCAACCCACCTGACATTATCCAGGACCAGCACTTTATCTGAAAAGCACTGGAGGCACTTAATGGCACCTGCACCACACCCTCCGTCATCGCTCCCAGGCGGCTACAGTGTCAGAGTCAGACCTCCTGACAGGAGACAGAGCCGTAATGCCAGGGAGTGGGTCCCGCTAGCATGAGCCTTCCGTCCGGACCACTACTCTTCTATAAATACCTCACTCACACTCCCAACAAGTAAGCATACACTGTTCATTAACTCATATTCTCATTATTCTCGTTCTCATACTAACTTGATCGTCGGAGTGATCCCAGGGGAGAAGCCCCGCCATTCACTTCGGATAAGAGGTTGACTTCGGACACAAGAGTTCACCTCACCTCATCTCAGAGAGGATTGATTCAGGTCGGCTCCGTGACCAACCAAAAATCACCCCCTTCAATTGGCGCCGTCTGTGGGAACGAGATCACTACTAGAAATGAGATCCACGCGCTCCAGAAGCGGAAGAGTTCCCTCAAACAGGGCTGGGCAGACCTCGGGAGCCCAGCAAGACCGCATCTCTGAAGAACAAGGGTCCCAAAGGACCCAACCCAACAACGATGATGCCATCGCCAAGATGGCCGAGTTCGTATCGCACAACCCTACCATTTTTGAGGAGCTAGGAAGGTACCTCAAAAGACAGGGGAAAGAAAAGGCCGAGTCTTCCAAAAGGAGGCCGACGAAGTCCCCTGAGGTACCTTCAGGTGAAGACTCCGATGAGGGGCGACTCTCTCGGAGTACCTCCAGGCGCGCCTCCTCCAAGGCGACCTCTAAGCTTGCCTCCATCTCCCGGGCGTTTTCCCGGGGACTGCTAGGGAAACGAGCTGAGGACCCACATCGGCGCCCCGGGGGCCTAGCTTCTGACTACATGAGGGCTCCGCCCTTTACTGATGACATCAACGGGGAGATGGTGCCCCCGAACTTCAAGCTCCCAAACTTGCACACCTACGATGGCCGAGGTGACCCCGAGGATCACCTCCGCGCCTTCATCTCCGCATTCCGACTCTACTGCGTCCCCGACGCTGTGATCTGCCGAGCTTTCCCCATCTTCCTACACGGGACTGTCTGGAAGTGGTTCTGGAGTTTGGAACCAGGGAGCATTTCCTCCCTGGACGAGCTGATAGACCGGTTCATCCACCGCTTTGTATCATCTCGACCAATCACCAAAACTTCAGCTTACCTCTTGAACCTGCAACAGGGTCAGGGCGAGTCCCTTCGCTCGTATACTCAAAGGTTCAACGAGGAGAATGTGCAGATACCTGACCAGAACGAGCAGGTAACTATCGCGGCCTTTACCAACGGATTGGTGGCGGGAATCTTCAACACTGAAATCCATCGGGAGTACCCCCGTACACTTCGGGAACTCTGGGATAGAGTGGACCAGGGAATCCGAAGTGAGGATGTGAACCGCATGAAGCGAGAAGCCCAAGCATCTCGTACGGGGCAAGATCTCCGGAGGAGGAAAGACACTGGCCGAGGTGAACCCAACCCAAGTAGCACTTCAAACCCACTCCGAGACCGCCGGAGTGTCTTCGACCGGATCGTGAGAGGCCGATCGTCCACCTCGGACGCTGAGCTGACACCTCTCAATTCCAGCCGATCTCATGTCTTGGCCGTGATGAGACAGAATCACCTCGGCCGAACACCTCCTGAGATCCCTGGGAGGAGAGATAAGAGGAATTCTAACCTCTACTGTGCCTACCACCGAGACGTTGGGCACGAGACCGAAGATTGCAACGATTTGAAGCGAGAGATCGAAAACCTGATTCGACAAGGACACTTGAAACAATTTGTCCGCAAAGATGGAGGCTTCGGCCGAAGCGCCTCCCACCGGGAGAGCCGAGGTCCTCGTCGAGAAGACAGGCGGGACACCAAGCTTAATTGCCGAGGTCCTGAGGACCATAAGGGGGATCAGAGGCCTCCACGCGACGGATCACCAGGCTACGGCCCAAACATTGCCGGGGTGATCAACACCATCTCAGGTGGCCCCACGGGAGGAGACAGCCAGAACTCCCGAAAGCGGACCTACCGCCAAGCCGGCATGGATGTGGCCGAGCCGAGCTCGAGGCTGTCCGAGGTGATAACCTATGGTCCCCGTGACCCTGTCCCCGCCGCCTCCAGCAATCACGAGGCCCTAGTAATTGAGGTCCTCACAAATAATTACTTAGTCAAAAAGGTCTACGTTGACCCCGGAAGCTCGATAGACGTCATGTACTACCGAACTTTCGAGAGTTTGAAGTTGACCCGGGAGCAACTCACTCCGGTCAGAACTCCCCTTGTCGGCTTCGGAGGACACGTCGTCCACCCGGAGGGCATGGTGAATTTAATGGTGACTATCGGGCGTCATCCCCGATGCCGAACTGTGCCTGTCAGCTTTGCTGTGGTCAAAGCGGACTCTCCTTACAACATGCTGATAGGCCGGCCCACGCTCAACGCCTTGAGAGCTGTGTACTCAACCTACCACTTGAGATTCAAATTCCCAACACCTGCAGGGGTGGCCGAGGTGAGCAGCGACGTGGGCGCCGCCCGAGAGTGCTACCTCGCCACCATTCAAGCAGCAGTCGGACCTCAACCCTCGCCGAGGTCAGAAGAAAAGAGGCCGGCTGTCCTCTCCATAGACTGCATCGACCCTAAAAAGGCAGGAGAGCCCAACAGGCTTGAGCCTGGGGATGAGGTGGAACAAGTGGTCTTGGATGAAGCCAAACCTGACCAAGTGGTCCAAGTAGGGGCCGGACTCCCCTCACCCCTGAAAGAAGAAATGATCTCCCTGATCAAGGACCACCGAGACATCTTCGCGTGATCCGCAGATGAAGTGGTCGGAGTGCCACCCGAGCTCATGACTCACCAACTCAACGTTAATCCACAGGCCCGACCTGTGCGGCAGAAACGAAGGCACTTCGGCCCCGAACGCAGCAATGCCATATCGGACGAGGTCGACAAGCTCTTGCTGGCCAAGATGATCCACGAGGTCCAATATCCCACCTGGCTGTCCAATCCAGTTATGGTCAAAAAGGACACCGGTGGATGGAGAATGTGTGTGGATTTCACCGATCTCAACAAGGCCTGCCCCAAAGACTGCTATCCTCTCCCAAGGATAGACGTCCTCGTCGACTCGGCGATGGAGTATGAGATCCTCTGCTTCCTAGATGCCTTCAAAGGGTATCATCAAGTAGGAATGAGTGAAGAGGACCAAGAGAAGACGGCGTTCTACACCGACCAAGGTGTTTATTGCTACACCACCATGCCATTTGGGCTAAAGAACGCCGAGGCGACCTACCAAAGGCTGATCAACCGACTCTTCAAGAATCAGATCGGCCGCAATGTGGAGGCCTATGTGGATGACATCCTCGTCAAAAGTCTCGCCACTTCATCCTTCCTGTCAGACTTGAGGGAAGTCTTCGGGGTCCTGCGAGACTCGAGGATGAAGCTGAATCCCAAGAAGTGCGTTTTCTGCGTCACCTCGGGAAAATTCTTGGGGTATCTGGTTTTCCATCGGGGAATCGATGCCAACCCCGACAAAATCAAGGCCATTCAGGACATGTCCCCACCTCGGAACGTCCGAGAAGTCCAAAGGTTGAATGGACGCCTGGCCGCGTTGAACCGCTTCCTGTCCCAATCCGCTGAGAAAGCTCTGCCCTTCTTTAAGGTGCTGAAGAAGGCTGACCAGTTCGCCTGGACTGAGGAGTGTCAGGCTGCTTTCGACCAGCTGAAGCAGTACTTGCATCATCTACCCACCCTTGCTTCACCTCGGCCCGAGGAGAAACTCTACCTCTACCTCTCCGCAGCCGACGAGGCTGTCAGCGCGGTGCTCATCCGAGATGAGGGCACCCAAGTGCCAGTCTACTACGTCAGCTGAGCTCTCCGCGGGCCGGAGACTCGATACACTCAGGTGGAAAAACTGGTGCTGGGACTAGTCCACGCAGCAAGGCGATTGAAGCCTTACTTCCTCGCCCATCACAACTCCGTCCGGACCGACCAGCCCATTCGGCAAATATTGGTGCGCCCCGAGGCTTCCGGTCGCCTCACCAAGTGGGCTGTGGAATTAGGAGAATATGACTTGTCCTATGAGCCCCGCACCGCCATAAAAGCACAAGCCCTAGCCGATTTCCTGGCCGAGCTGACCTTCACGGAAGGTCCGGAGTCCACCTCCACCAAAGCCGATGTGTCCACCCCATCCCCATGGACACTGTATGTCGATGGGTCCTCTAATGGAGACGGCAGCGGTGCCGGACTTCTTCTGGAAGGACCTCAGGGAGAGGTGTGCTCCTACGCCCTCCGCTTTGGCTTCCCGGCCACCAATAATGAAGCCGAATACGAGGCTTTAATTGCTGGACTCCAGCTAGCCCGTAGACTCGGCCCCCAACAAATCCATGTCCGCAGTGACTCCCAACTAGTAGTACGCCAAGTCCTTGGTGAGTACGAGGCCAAGGATGAGACCATGCAACGGTACCTCTCCAAGGTTCACCAGCTCACCGCGTACTTCGAGTCTTTCGAAATCCAAAGAATACCCCGATCCCAGAATAAGCGAGCCGACGCCTTATCCCGGCTGGCTTCCACTTCATTCTCTGACCTCAACAAAACCGTCTTGGTGGAGGTCCTGAGTGAACCAGGATACGTGGAAGAGGTGGCCTGCCCCGTCCACTCCGAAGATACCTGGATGACCCCGTTCATCCTCTTCTTGAGTCAGGGAACACTTCCCGAAGACCGAGCCGAGGCGAGGAAGATACAACGCAAGGCTGCTCGGTATGCTCTCCGTGAAGGAGAACTGTACAAACGCTCATACCTCGGCCCATGGCTGAGGTGTGTCACTCCCGAGGCCGGACGTCACGTCCTCCACGAGATCCACGAAGGCCTGTGCGGAGCTCACGTCGGCCACAGGATGTTAGCCAAGAAGACTATGCTCCTTGGATATTTCTGGCCGTTACTTCGGCAAGACTCCCAGGACCTCGTTCTCGGCTGCCCTTCCTGCCAAGTCCACGCACCCGAGCACCACCAGCCTTCCAACTTCATGGTCCCTATCACTTCACCCTGGCCGTTTGAGCAATGGGGGACAGACATCATAGGTCCTTTCCCTAAAGCCGTCGGGGGTTATACCTTCCTGGTGACCGCTGTGGACTACTTCACTAAGTGGGTCGAGACCGAGCCACTTCGGACCATCTCAGGGCTAGCCATTCAAAAATTCTTTTGGAAATGCATTATCTACCGCTTCGGCATACCTCAGGTCATCATCTCGGACAATGGGAGACAGTTTGCCGAGAACCCATTCAAGACCTGGTGCGAGAACGTCGGCATCAAACAACACTTCAGTTCGGTAGGCCACCCTCAGGCCAATGGTCAAGCAGAAAACTTCAACCGAACTCTCCTGCATGGTCTCAGGACCCGACTACACCAAGTTGGGTCGTCTTGGATGGAGGAACTCCCTAGTGTCTTGTGGTCATATCGGACCACGCCGAGGTCAGCGACGCAAGAGACCCCGTTCTCCTTGACCTACGGCGTCGAGGCTGTCATCCCGGCTGAGATCCTTACCCCCAGCCATCGGCTGGCAGCCTATGCCGCCGAGGTGAACGATGAAGAGAGGCTGCTGGACCTCGACCTCGTCGAAGAACGAAGGGATCTCGCCTCAACCCGGATAGCTTCATACAAGAACACACTGGCACACTATTACAATGCCCGTGTCAGACATCGTAGATTCCATCCTGGAGACTTGGTTCTCAGAAAAATTTCAGTCAGCCGAGCTGAACCGCAAGGAAAATTATGCCCGAAATGGGAAGGCCCTTACCGAGTTGTGGAATCTGACCCTAAGGGGTATTGTAAACTGAGTTACCGAGATGGCTCATTAGTGCCGAGGTCTTGGCACGCCGAGAACCTTAGGTTGTATTATGCTTGAAGTTGTGACTTCATTCAGTTATTTCATCAAAGTTGACTTCATCCAGTTATCTTGTCAAGTTATGACTTCAGCTATTTAGTTATTTTTCAACAATATGATGCCCAACATCCGTTATTAAAAAATAAGGGGGACAAACAAGGGATGAAATCAAAGCAAGAAACAAAAAGCGCTGAGATGAGAAGAAAAAGGTTTTCATTCAATAGAAAAGAGTGCTACAAAAAATACAAGGCTGAGGTCCGAATGCTACTAAGCACTCTCCACCTCGGCCACCCCCTAAAGCCTATGAGCCTAGACCCCCGTCTCGGCTCCATCCCCGGTCTTGGCTCCCTCCTGGGCAGCCTTCTCTTCGGCCTCTTTTCCGCCGGGGTGTTCATCTCCATGCTCTTTGCCGATGTCCCCTCCGACTTCGTCCCCTCCGGCTTCGTCTCCCTCAGCGTCCTCTCCTCCAGCTTCTTCTACTTCCACCTCCTCGAACACTTCGTCGAGCTCGGACAGCCATTTGTTGAACTCAACCTGGACTTCGGCCAAATTCCTTCCTGCCTGAATGCCTTCGGCCATCCGATCACATAACTCCTTGGAGTTTTCATTGTAGCTGGCATGGTTTTTCAAAGACTCCAAGGCTTCGGAGGAGAGGTGAGCTGCGGCCTCGTCAATGGCCGATGTGAAGCCAAACATGAAGTTAGGCGTAAGCAGTTGGCCGAGGTCCTTGATGAAGGCATCGGACCTCCGAAACGCGTCCACTGTCGAGGCTCCAGCACCCTCGAGAGCTTGTGCGTGGGACTTCTTCACCTCGTCCCCCCTCTTCTACTCCTCCTCGAGGGCTGATCTGAGACTATTCATCGTAGCCTCAGCCTCCTCACCCTTAGCTTCAGCCTCTTGAAGTCGCCTCTGAAGCTCCGACTTCTCGGATTCGGACACCGCCAGTTGTTTCTCCAACTTGGAGATCTGATTCTGCAGCTTGCCGGTGTCCTGCTCCTCGACCAGAGCACAGTATCTGTGAGCCATCTCGGCCGTAAAAGCTGAGTTGGAAGCTGTGGTCACCATCAGACTTTGAACCAGCTCGGCCGGGTTCAGTTTTTTCATGAACTCCAAATCCCTTGGCAGAGTGGAGTGCATTACTAGCTCTTGGGCGACCCGAGAATGTTGGCACCTGTCGTTGACCGAAATCTTCCAGTTCGGACACCAATGATTGCCGGAGTGCGTCTTCTCCTCCCCGGGAAACACTGGGGGGCTATGGAAACGATTCCATAGCGAGGTCCCCGAGACTGGATTGGCCGGGGCCTTCAACTGCTTGCCTCGGCCCTGAGGAGGTGGGAGTACCGTAACGACTCCGAGAGGCACTCCCTCCGGCACGGACGAGGTGGACCCAGTAACCGCGGTGGCCGAGCTGCTCTGGCCGACCTTGGTGGGAGTGCTTGTAGCCGCCGGGGGCTTGGCAGCCTGTCCTTGTGTTTTCTTCTTCTTCGGCGGAAGTGCCGATGTCTCGTCAGTACTCTTTCTCTTCGGCCTCTTGGCCACTTCGAACGAGCTGGATACGACGATATCGGACAACTTGACCACTGCACAAGAAATAAACATTATCATATGCCTTAACCGAAATGAAAAGAAAAGCCATGAAAGAAAATTACAAGGTTTCTTAAGTTCAGTGGAAAAGAAGGGAGCTTTGGTAGTATTGATCACGGCTCGACTTATCCCCCCATTCACGAGCACGGCTTCGGGGTAGTCATGGCTGAACAGCCGAAGTCCCGACTTCATCAGCTTCTAGAAGGACTCCTCTTCGGCACCCCCCGCAGAGGGGTCGGCCTTCGCCTTAATTGGCCTCCACTAAAAATCCCTCGGGAGGTCCACTCCGGATACGAAGAAGTAGTCGCGCTTCCAGTTCTTGATCGAGTTGGGAGCACCGATCACCAACTTCGGGATGGCATTGTTCCGGTTGCCAACATAAAACCATCCCTTATCTGTCGCGTGCGCCTTGAGGGTATAGCATCGGCGGAAGAGATCGACGGAGGGAGTCACCTCCTGATGTCGGCACAGCATCTCAAACCCCACAATGATGCGGATCGCATTCGGGGTGAGTTGGGTGATTCTCACCCGGAAGTGACGAAGTAAGTCCCGGAGGAACCTCGACGTCGGCATCCTCAGCCCGGCCTCCAGCTGTTGAACGTAGACGGCCACCATGCCTAAGGGGGGCTTCGCGGCTGTGTCATCCACCTCGGGCGGCAAAACTTCGTACCACGGCCGGAAGGGGTACTTGTCTACCACCTTCACGGCCCTATCTCTTCCTACGCGACTCCTAAACTTCGGCATCTGGCCGAAGTCGATGTTGGCTGCGTCCACTGGAGCAACTGGCTCCGGTACGCCCTCGTCATGGGGTATCTCGGTCCCGAGCTCGGTATTGTATTCGACCTCGGAACCACCCTCGCTCATCTCGGACGATTCCAATCCCGAGCCTGCCTCGCCGACTCTCACTTCGGTTGATCCTTCTTCAGAACTCGGCGTCGACCCCTCAGGACTGGACGTTGTCGCTTCTTCTTCCGGATCTGGCCTCACCTCTGCCTGGTAGCTCGGGGTCACAGTTTCTTTATGGGTCTTAGCGGTTTTGGCCATGTGTGAAAGACGAGATGGAGAGAGAAAGATACTTACTATTGACTATGATGTCGGACGAAGACGATGACTTCAGATGGGATCTCGGCTGCAAGGTTGACCTCGGCAACACTCGTAAATTTTGTAAATCGCAAGCTAAGAGAGAAAATGATGGGCCATACGGTGAAAAGGACCCTCTATTTATAGGGGTCCTTGGGAATCCGAAGAGGCGGCCAGAATGCGAAAAGACAACCACGTTCGAATTCAAAACGCCACGTCTCCCTCTCTCCTCATTAATGCCCCGTCCTTTCGGCTGACACCCTCTGCACGAGACGTCCCACTACTTCACGACGTGACGGTTACGTGCCAACTGACTCCAAGTCCCTCCAACTGACATGCCCACGTGTCACGCCCCCGCATCTTCCGGAGCAGGTTCGGGACCCCAACTCTTCAAGGTTTCGGCACAAGGAAGCCTCGGTACCTCCCTGGCCCGAAGCTCCCGAGGCTTGGGGGGCTTATTGAGGATGCTCACCTCGGCCACCCCACGTGTCCGAGGTGAACCCGAGCCTCATCCCTCATCAGAGCTCATCCCTGTCTTGAGCATAACCCCTGAGCTCGGCTAGATCCGTAGTCTACCGTGTGGGCGACCTCGGCACATCCACCTCGGCTGCACGCTGATGATGTCAACCCACCTGACATCATCCAGGACCAGCACTTTATCTGAAAAGCACTGGAGGCACTTAATGGCACCTGCACCACACCCTCCGTCATCGCTCCCAGGCGGCTACAGTGTCAGAGTCAGACCTCCTGACAGGAGACAGAGCCGTAATGCCAGGGAGTGGGTCCCGCTAGCATGAGCCTTCCGTCCGGACCACTACTCTTCTATAAATACCTCACTCACACTCCCAACAAGTAAGCATACACTGTTCATTAACTCATATTCTCATTATTCTCGTTCTCATACTAACTTGATCGTCGGAGTGATCCCAGGGGAGAAGCCCCGCCATTCACTTCGGATAAGAGGTTGACTTCGGACACAAGAGTTCACCTCACCTCATCTCAGAGAGGATTGATTCAGGTCGGTTCCGTGACCAACCAAAAATCACCCCCTTCACTATGCTTTGAGAGTCTTGAATGGAACTTAATTGAATTACTCCACTTCAGAAAAAGAGCTTTTAGTTGTTACTTTTGCTTTAGAAAACTTCGATCATATTTAGGAGTCAAAGTAATTGTTTACTCTAATCACGCAGCGTTGTAGTACTCGTTAACTAAGAAGGATGGTAAGCCGAGACTCAGTAGGAGGATTCTACTTCTACAAGAATTTGATTTGGAAATGAAAAATAAGAGAGGAGTAGAGAATTTGGTTGCTGATCATCTAAGCCGACTATCTAATGCTAGAGAAGATTTTCTGCTAAGAGAGACTTTTCCTGAAGAGCAACTATTTTCTGCTAATTCATCTGTGCCTTAGTATACTGATATTGTGAATTACTTAGTTATTAATAAATTCCCTGTAAGTTGGTTGAAGGGTAAAAGAGACAAACTCAGAAATGATGCCAAATATTATATATGGAATGACCTCTACCTTTGAAGATAGTTTGCAGATCAAATAGTGCAGAGGTATGTAAGTGCAAGTTGGTTGAAGATAGAAGTTTTTTTGGTGGAGGTCCTCCTGCGTTAGTATCGTGTTTTGGGCTAATAAAAGGTCCATTGTGTATTATTACGTTCTCAACCAAATGACTCAATCCTTATATGTTACCAACCAAGTGGCTTATTGCCGGAATTGATCCAACAAGTCTACTTGTTTCCCTCTATCTGGCTCTTGTTCTTCCTGCTGCTTTAATTTATTCTCTCGAAGCAATAAATTGATTGAGACATATGCACAACTTGAAATATGAAAGCAAGGAAAAGTTAAGCAATACCAGTAGGACTATGATTTAGCGCCACCATTAGCATAGAGTATTTTATGCTTTTAAATGTGTTCAGATAGTTTCTTATTTGAAAGAAATTATTTGATTATATTACAAACACTTTTTTTATAAATTTTATCATTTTTTATTTCATATGTATTACGTTACAAAAAGCATGACTGTAATATAAATATTCTCCTTCTTATTTTGCTACTTTCTCACTCTGAATTGTAGCCTATAATTCGTCTTGAATGTCTGTAATAGCACTCACATTCGTCAAAATTCAGTAAGAGTTCGATAACATAACATGCTAAATCTTCGAGGCTATAGACTTCGACATTCCACTGCGACTGATTTTGATTTATGGGCCATTACACAATTACAAAAATGGTAATGTCTCCTTCCGTACAGTGAGTGAACTGACCTGGGCCAGCATCAACTGAAATTATACTCATAGTTGTCAAAATCGCGATCCGGATCGTAGGATCGATCCTACGATCCGGATAATCA